AGGGAGGGAGGGGAGAGGTGCTCTAGCCTGAGCTTCCGCCTGCTGAGGGGTGGCCAACTCAAAGAAATAGCGCACACAGAAATACAAGAAAACACTCCAGAATACAGAATACACAATGTGTAAAACGTTCCAAAATTTGTCGCTTTCTAGGAACAAAATTGCATCCGTACAACTCTCTAAAATAAAAGGGGAAGACGTAGACAGTGAACACTGTCCTAGCGCGCTCAGTTCGTTGCCCTGGTGGTGCAAAGCACGGCAGGCCATGAGGGCACCATGAATAAGAATGGATATAGAACGCACGCTGCGTCGTCGTGTTTTTCTCAAGTTATTCCGTTGGAAAGACGGGTGGAGGGGGTTGCGGAGACACACGGTGGCAATATAACTGCAGCTCGCCCTGGTCCGCCCGGTCTGCAACAACGGTATATTCTTTGCGTGGCTGGGGACAACACAAGCGCGCGCAAGTGTGTGTGTGGGTGTGTGAGTGCGTTATTTCCACGCGTGTGGTGGTGGTGGTAGGGGAGGAGGTGTGCGCATACGCTCAGCTAGCGCTCGGTCGCCCCGACTTTACAGAGCCCCGGCTCAGAAAAGGAAAGCGAAGACAAGCTCTGCCTTTTCATTTGCGCCTCCCCTCCCCCTCGTGTGAGGGGTGGGCGTGGGTGGACTAGCCTCCAAACAAACGAGCAAAGACTCGCTATGGCGTCAAACAAGCCCGACCAACACTGTGTGTGAGAATCACTAAAGTTGAAATTTAAAAGCGTTATTGAAGCGTATTTAGCTTTCTCGGATAGGAATCGCTTACATAAGAACGCTTTTTTAAAAAATTCGAACACGATTCAATAACGCACTGCAACTGCATTTTTTTTTCTTTTTATGTGTTTTTCTTACGTGTAAGGTTACGACGCCGTGCCTGGCACACCTTGCCCCCAGCCCAGGGTGTGAGGGGTGGGTGCCTCGGGGTGGTGGGGCCCTTGGGGCGCGATGGGCGGGAAAAAGAACCGTGCAGAGCCACACCTGAGTCTCTAGAGCCGGGACGACCCGGTCCTTGCGTACGGCAGAACACGGCCTTACCGGTAGGGTCCGGGGTCCGGGTCCGGGTGTGGCGTGGCGTGGCGCGGCGTTCCAGGAAGGGGTGGAGTGTGATGTGTTGGCTCCCCCCTTTTTCATTGTACCGCCTCATTCTCTCTTTCTTCCGCCCCCTTCATTATCGACCCTCCCTTTGCTCTCTTGCGCGCGTTTCTCTCGCACTCACCGCGATATGGGAGCTCTCGCGTCCCTGCGCCCTTCACCCATAGGCCTCCCCTCGACGTGCGCACACACGTGCACGTTCGTAAACCAGAGAGAGAGAGAGAGAGAGAGAGAGAGAGAGAGGGGGGGAAGCGAGGGAGAGAGAGATAGAGACCCTGACTCACGAGGATAATAAAAGGCATGGGCCTTCCGTCCACATTTACCCGCGTGGGCGAAGTAGAAATATGTGTGCAGGGGTGTGTGGGTGGTGTGAGAGTATGTGCGCGGTGGGGGGGGGGAGCTAGGAGGGGTTCTACAAGAGAGGACGGGGACGGAAGAAGTCTGCAATGATGTGGCGATCTGCGCCTTCATCTTTAGCGCCCAACGGATGGGCAGTGCAGTGCGGGCAGGTCAGCATACCAGCAGGAGACGGGGAGGACAGATGTGGGAAGAAATGCTTCACAATTCTCTGGAAACTCACAGGTGTAGAAGATGGGACTGTAGATTGGACTGATAAAGCGGCATTTTTGTCTTACAAAAATTAAGAGTGGGGGAAGGGAGGGGCGAATCAGCCACCTGGTATACTTCCATGTTAGTCCAGCGTTTAAGTTATTTTTGTTTTCAGTGTATAAACATTACAATATAACTCCTGTTTAAATGTGTGCCGGGTGTATTGAATCCGCTCATATCCCACATGCCCATTTATTACCATCAGACCGGGACCGGGATGGTACCAGATGGTACGGAATGCCCATGAGACTCGATGTGTAAAAATTAACTACACTGCAAAATGGTGCGTCACAAAGAGAACCTCACTTTAATCAGATAGTAAATAAGGCCTATGTGCGAAGAAAAATTTCGAGGAATACGAATTATTGAGATCTTACGTAAAATTTCTTATTTCAAGATTTCGGGTCGGGACAAATTAATTTTTATTATGAACAAGCTAAACGAGGTTTTCAATGCACGTTTAATGCGTATACTTAGCCCGAGACTTAGCCACAATAAGTGGTTCATAATATCACTTATTACATGACATGAAGCTACAGCTGCAGGTTGCAGCATGAATCTGTACATGATTAACTACGCACGATTGTGCTTGTATTATTATAGTAAACAATGTTCAGAATTCAACAAAATGGCTAATTACACAACGAACATTGTAGCGACAGCAAAGTCTTTTGTGTCGCTACACGCTTCGAGCTAGGTCTAGACGAGTAACGACTACGAACTTAACGTGTCACGGTGTGACCGGGCTAAGCGTTACCACCCCCTGCGTAAGATTAGGGGAGCTGTCTATGAGATGAGGGTGTGGCGGGGCGTGGTGAGCCGCGGGGACAAACAACGCCAGCGCGTCGGCCCTTCGGTCATGTGGACCTAATCATACACGAGAACAATGTGCCCCCCCGGGCCGGGCCCCGGCCCCAGGTTAGGCGCACTGCCAGGACCGAGGCGGGCCGAGGGTTCTGGGCTGAGGCCTGCCCTGCGAGCTAATTTAATTTCGCTATATTTACCCTGCATGACAATGAGATGAGTTTTCCCCCATCCCCCATCCCTGAGCAAGAATCTGTCGACGGTATGAAAAAATGTAGCGGACCTCAGACGTCGTTTGTTCTCATCTCCGATCCTACCGTGAAAAGAATGGTGAGAAAAGAAAATGAGTTTGAAACAGGCGCAAAATGATCCGCTGCAGACAAGTTGCAACGCACACCAGAACAAAAACAAAATACACTTTGCGCAAATATGCATCAGAGCAGCGAGCGTTAAAAACTATTCCTAAGTGTAGATACAGAGCTAACCAAACGCGAGTGTGATTTTCACACCAGGCGTGATTTACACGCTTCGTAAGCTTCACGCAGCCAATCAGGAACCGACTTTCATCACGCCGGGCGTGAAAATCACACCAGGCATGAAAATCACGCCTGACGTGAGAATCACGCCCGCATTTAGGGAACTCTGTATCCACCTTAAAACTGGACAGATTGTGTAAAACTTTCTCGTTCTAGGAACAAAATTGTTCCATTACGTTTAGAGTGTACAACGTGTACGAAAGAGTGCGTTTCAATTAAGTATGCGGCCACAACTGGCTTACGGCTGTTCGTTCAGCGGAAATCCCGCTGCGTCCTTGTGCGTGCAACAAGACGACCAACAATGTAAAATATCCTTGTTGATTTACCTTGGATTTACAATATCTCTTTTTACAAAATATGCATGTTAATTTACGTGACCGCTCATGGAAATTTCCCCTGTAAAAGCTCAGCTTTCAACTATTTTTTTACAGTGAATCACTTCCCATTCCCAAGCAGAATTTTCGATCGATGATTTTTAAGTTTGTCCGTCGTCTCTACTGGAAAAACAAAGGTGCGAGATGTCAGGGGTATTAAAATCGTTTTAGGGGTGCTAACTTGCATATTTTTCATATTTATTTTTCAAAGTTACTCCATGAGCCTACACGGGCAAAACAACCACATATTGGAGTCTACACACAAAATTGGATTTTTTTAAATTGCGTAATTTTGTAGGACTTTTACTGTGCCTAAGCTTAACGTAGTTTTTAAACGCACGTTTTAATGCATATTCAAGCACAAACCGTACATAATATCACTTGTCCACGAATCTTGTGTACACCTGCATTACTCTAAATGAATCCCTGCATGCGCAACTAGCCCACATACGAACGATCCTACATATGATAGGGCTCTGATAAACGGGCAGCAAGTGAAAAGCAAGTCAAAAAGTACAAAAAATTGCAATCAAATTATGTCATTTTAGAGCGGAACCCCAGGAAGGTTCACATGACGTGGAAATTTGCATTTTGGTCTGTCATGCAGTGTACCTGATGGTAATTACAGGGCTGTCACTCTATGTATCGACGAGTGCCGGTCCGTTGGTCAGCCCCTCCCTAGCCCTCGGCCCTATAGCTGCTAGTTGCCGGGACGTCATATCGACCAAAATAACGACTCGCATTCCCGTCGAGCGCGTCGCTTGTCTATCATGTACGTGTTACGCACGAGTAACGCACGAGTCACACACGAATCACGCACGAGTCACGCACGGGTAATGCTTTTCACGAATATGATGTCAAAAGGAGGTTTACATGAATTGTCACACAACCATGGCGGTTGTAAATTTTACGATGTTGTAATCTGATGACTGCGTGTGAGGGCGAAACAAGCAGCATACCATAAACACGCAGGTAACTGTTATTGTGCTGACTGGACTGAGTCACCCGGAGCAATCGCGGCATAGTACTGTAGATTCAGATTCCTAATCGCACTTTTGTGTCCGCAGAGTAGGCAGTATACTTACTGCCAGGAAAGTATAGCACTACGATAAAACGTTCGCTAACTACATTTCAAACATGGAGCCGTAACCCATTTTTACACCTTTCAACTATCGTAAAGATGTAGACAAAATAAACGAGGTAAAGTGCCATCTATTACTGTAAATTGTTGATTGTTGTCCAATAGTTCCATGAACAACTCTAACGCTATACATCAAGTCAAGTTATTGTCATTTCAATCCGATTTTGGGCCGATAAACGTTCTTGACCGGTGGCAAACATATCTGCCCAAGGGCGGGAGCTTGAGGGGAAGGCGGGGCAAAAGCGGAGGCCGGGAGCCTGAGCGGCCCAAACAACAAGTCCGACGAATGTCTTACCGTTCCGCTTGGCGTTGAGGTGGCCGTAGAGGCGGCTGAGGTCGATCCCCGCGACCGGCGCCACGAGCCCCGGCATCATCAGGGCCATCCCCAGCCCGAGGTACAGCATCCCGGCACCAGCCATGCTCAGCACCAGGACGAGCTTGTCGGCGGCCTCGGGGCGCGCGCGCACGCGGAGGCGGCGGGGCGGGGTGGGGTGGAGTGCGGCGGGGTAGGGCAGGCGGGCAGGGCGAGCGGAGCGGCGGTGGCGGGCGTTCCGAGTCCGCACCAGGTTCGCGTCGGTGTGAGCCGAGGGGGTCCTGTTGCTCTCCGCAGCGGGGCTGGAGGGCGGGGCGGGGTGAACCCCCCACCCCCTCCACTCCGGGGGGCCGTCGCGCAGCCCCCCGG